TTTAAAGTTCTTTATGTTTCATTCTACAAAAAATGTATCCATCTTTCATGTGGAAAAGTCGACTTCTAGTAGATAGAATTTTAATTTAATTAAAATCATGGTTTTTTTTTTAAAAAAAAAAACCTCTACCTAAGAAACTCCTTCACGCTCATGGACTATATTACCCTCCAGTCCACATTCATATTTTATCGCTGAAATAAGTTCCGGGGAGATTATCGTCTTTTTAACAATCCCTTCTTCATCTTCATGTTTCTCATTAACTTTTTTATTATAATCCCGTGTTGTGGTTGTGGTGGTAGTAGCCCCCCAACCCCTATACAAAATAACCTTATTCGGTTCTTGTGATACCAAAATTGCCCCTGTTGCCTCCTATAAATAAAGCATGAACTTTTTCATAAATTATACCCATTTATTTATATATAAAACTAATAATAATAATAATAATACTAATAATACCTCTAGCTTCGAAACCAGTTCTTGCACTGAAGTCCCTTTGGCTCTTCCTTTGATATTCACAATAGCAAGAGGGTGTTTTTGGAAATGAGTTTTAATTGTTTTAGCCACCCCACTAACAACATTGCGTCTCCCTGCATTATAAAATATAAATATAAATAATATCATATACTACCAATTTTATATAATATTAGCAAAATTTTGGAACTTACCAACAGCAAGAACAGGGCGTTTTGTGGTTTTAAGTGCTTGTTTCCTCAAAAGCAGCCTTTCTTTATTGGAAAGAAGAACAGATCTGTGTTGTCTCCCGTTTGACTCGGTAACTCGGAACTCGGTTTTATTGGTTAACAGTGATAGCTTTGAGGAGTTATTAGCTTCTGTGAACTCACTTTCATTTGTTTCTGGATTTTCTTGGGATGATGATTGTATTTGTAACCCATTATTTTTGTTTGAAAAATCTAAATCAACCTCAATTTCCTTTAATTTTGTAGGATTTGGATTTGGATTATGATTATGAAGTTCAATATTTGCATTAGGTTCTTCCATACATTCAGTTGATGAGCTTTTCTCCTTTTCATGTTCCTATACAATCATTAATAAATATATATATATATATATATATATATATATATAGGGAAAAGTTCAATAGAGAACCATAATTATTGGTTCTTCA